TGTATACTAGCAATTCTGGAGAAAAATCCACAACTACAGTTGATATTAGCAGGGCTTTAGTAGGACTCTGAAGACTTCTACAACTTGGAACTCGGTCTGGATTTTAAACGTCTTCAACGCTTTCCCATATGAGCATGGCGAAGATATGTCTATTGTCAGACGATTAACGTCCACCGTGTTCTGAGGAAATGTAATCTAAACAAGGATGAACCACATTCGATGTAGGTACATGTGCTGCTTGCATGCACTTTGTAAATAAAGGAGAATAGAAAGCAATCACAAACGTCTTAGAGGTTACATTTTACCTGTCGTTATTAGCACTTAATATATCAGGTATACACACACTAGTTGCTGGTCGGCGATACGCATCCATTCCAGGTGCAATAAAATCATTTGTTTATCTGCATATGTGATTCATATTCACCTCTACGAAGTAAGTAACTACCGGCCGATCAATATCACACCTATAGCGTCTAGAATTATGGAGAGACTAGTCAAAGATAACTTAATCAAACATATGCTTAGCCGCAATATTATAAGTCCGAACCAACATGGATTCCTGAAATCCAGATCATGTTTAACGTGTCACCTAGACTTCTTCAATTTCGTAACCAGCAGTCGTGACAGACGGCAACTAGTACTTGTCATCTACTTTGACATTTCTAAGGCATTTGACCGTGTTGACCATCTACTGCTAACAAATAAGCTGAACTCCTTAGGAATACGTGACCCATTATTAGGCTGGCTTAAATCATTCCTTAACAATAGGTCCCAAATAGTTAAACTCGGGTCTGCAACCTCCAAACCTAGCCCTATCACTTCTGGTGTAGTACAAGGTAGTGTCATTGGACCCCTCCTATTTACACTATACATCAATGACATATGCGCTTGCTTCACGCACGGGAAACCATTCATCTTTGCGGATGACCTAAAAGTAGCTTATACATTCCAAAGTGATGACTTAGGGAACTTCGAGAATGTAGTGCAGAAGGAATTAGATAAAATGACTGCTTGGTCGTCCCTATGGAATCTCCAATTCAATCTGAACAAATGTGGCTGGATCTGCTTTGGCGCACCCTCAATTGACCTGAAATTAACGCTCCAATCTGCTAACCTAACAAGACTCCGAAGTGTTGTTGACTTAGGCCTGAGGTACTCTAGTGACTTGACATTCTCTGAGCAAGTAGCAGCACAGACTAGAAAATCGAGGATGCTCTTAGGATGCATACTCAGGAACTTTCACGACAATGAAGCCAAGCTAATTTTGTACAAAACATGTGTCAGACCACTACTAGAATACTGTCCATTTATTATAAGCAGCACTCGCACACGTGACAAGCTAAGGATGGAAAGTATCCAACGATATTTTACCTCAAAACTCCTAGGCTATGATTGTAAGAAAGACTACATCTCACGGTGTATGATCCTAAAACTTGACCCACTTTGGACAAGGCGACTTATTATAAACCTAATATTCTTCTTTAAGGTCCTTCACAAAATATCATTCTCAGGGAACAGGGACATACAATTCGCACAGGAAGGTTCTTACGATCTACGTAACCAAACTTCCACAGTGACAACTCATTCTTTTAGGTTAACACTCCGTGAAAACTTCTTCACAGTCATGTATTCTAAAATATGGAATAGCCTGCCTATAGATATCAGAACTTGCTCTTCAGTTACAAGCTTCAAACGCTCTCTATACAGACTGTTTCACTCTACTGATTATATTAATAAACTATTTACTCCTAGAACGAATCAATCACTAATCTACTACAGCACCTAAAAGACGCACTCCAACACCCTTAGCAATCTTTAAACTATAAATAAACTAGCAGCATGGATGCATAAAGACAGTACGGAACATACAGGATTAGTTTACCCTTAGAAATAGGACGTGTCACTTTATTGTAACCTTCAAACGCTTGCTATATAAACTGTTTTATTCCAATGACTACCCCTACCAGAAACCATTAATTACTTCTAAAACGCATCAGTCATTAGAACACTAAAACGCTCAGACTCATTAATACACATTATGACACTAAATAAACTCTAAGACTTCGCATAAATAAAGTGAAAAGGCAACTATAATTAAAAGTAATTTTTTACTTATATGTTATAAAATTGACATAAACATTTATACATATACATTAATATCCTTTTAATGTTCACATACTTTCTCTTTCTGGTATTCTGCTGCTCTTATTCATCTTCTGGTCGAGGTCGAACAACCCTGCATCTAAACTGAAATGAGGATTAATTCCAAACCATCTATATCATAACCACTCAAATTCCATGAACGATCCAAATCTACCATTTGAAGACGCTGGCGAACATGCTGTAAATGAGTATTCATGATCTGAAATGAAGAAGCAACTGGTTTTCAACATTTTTCTGAACTTACGAATACAGTCCGCCATGCAGACACAAATGGAGCAAATGGAGAATTCTGGAATCGACCTCGACACCATTTGATGCAGTAAAACAACTTAATATGACCTTATCTAGTTTTCGTATCCACGGTCAAATTTCTTTCCTGTTATAAAACTAAGATAAGACTGCTGAAAAAGTGGAATAAATATATCACTGATCTCAACATAATACATCAATAAACTTCAAACCAAGGGTGTTGCTCACAACAAAGTTATATAAGAGAATTGACTTCAAGCTTTTTTTCCCAGATATCCGTATTACATTCATCTGATGTCTGGTTTTTTTAATGCGAAGACAATATTTCTATATCTCTTTATGTGCTACACAGACTTTATAGCAGACTGTTCCGACTGACTCTCATGTCAGAGAGAACAACCAAACTGTAAATTCATCATACATCAAATTATGTGTAATTTATATAATAACTTATCCATGCCTGTACAATTGGTATGTTCCTGCATAAACAGGAAGAAATATATATTATTATTATTAAAGAATATTGAATGTGATATGTCAAAATTCGTAATTGCCTGACTCAGGACTGGTTTCGGTGCAGCCAGCGTTAGCTGTTCCTTTAGAAACCGAAGAGGATATTTAACACAGAGCGTGTCAGCCAACTCTCAGAAACTGTCAATGTCCAGCTGTTACTACGCTGGACCTCACGCTGCCACTGGAAGACTTTCAAAGACGATTTGTAACAACCAACGCGAAAAAACCAGAACACAGATTTGCGACTCCAGAATCTTTTATTCGTACGTCCATATGTAAACAACAATAAGTTTATTATACACAAGGTCTAAGAATAAATGTTATAACAATAAATGACGATAATAATTCTGCTAATTTTCTATCTTCCACTCAACAGCGAACGATGAGAAGATGACTTTTGAGCTGATAACTCCCGCGAAAATATAGAGGAGTTGGGTTTGAGCAAACAACCATGAATTGATCGTTCAATCTTCAACTACACTGAGAGAGCGATTTAGAAAGTGGTCGACATACGATCATGTACCTAACGAATAACTATTTTAGGTGAAAGCAAGAGTTCCTTGTAATTGTGGCTTCCGGTCAGCAGTTTTCTCAAAGCTGCAACAAGTTGGGGAGTTTATTAAAATTCGGGATATGAAAGTTGGTAGATTGCAGGTTGTTTACTTCATTCAAAATAAGCAAATTGAAATAAACCAAAAATTCCCAGATATGTGTTACTTCACATCTACTCTGATGTATGTGACGGAGTTTGATGCCAAAAAGACATGTTTTCTGATGTAAATTGTTCTACGCAACTTTCAGGATAGCACGTGATACACCCATTTCCTCATCCAAATGAACTGTATTGCACTCTAGTGCAAGGCAGAATAATTTTAAACTGATTTTCTTTACTTTAGAGAAGGTGTTGCAAATGTTTAATGCGGAAATTAATCTACTGTCCAATTGTTGTCTATTGAACTTGAGTTTATGAAACCAGAGATATTACAGTTACCTGTTTCGGCAACTGTAGCAATCAAATATGAAGAACATACGTTTGAAATCAAAACAGTTACAAAAACAGTTAAGTACCTGAAATATAGCATAAAAACCTGTTGTGCTTATTACTCTAACAATCACACATTATGCAGCCTAGACATTCAGTCGTTATACGTCATCTATGTTGCTTAATTTACACAGATATTCCAGGAAAGATTCATCTTCATCACCAGTGATCAGAAAAATTAAAACATCTACATTATATATGCAGTCTCAGTGTGAAAGACAGCAGATTAACAAAGATAAAGCTTATTAGTGTAGGCCCTCTGACTGAATACGATTCATGCATATATTGATGCAATATATTAAATTAGCGTATTAGGCAGTATAATACCACAAATCGGGCCAGGAGTTACCTTTTCAGCTTCAGCGTACCACAACAGTCTTGAGAATCACATATATTTGTCAGCTAAGCAATCAGCCAAGATGAAAACGGAACGATATTATTAACAATGAGAGAGTATTTTATACAATGAATCCGCGTAACCCGAATCACGTCATACTGATCAGTGTAATAACATTTCAAACCCACCTACAAATAATCTTCCCACTCACAATAATTTCTGTCCCTGCACACAGTGAAGTAGTGCATTCATAGCATGAATTCTGTTAGCTGATTCCCAAGTATCCACCTGCTAAATAATTCTCTTCTCTTCAGTAAAATAGTCTTCATGGACATTCTGAGATATGTGAAGAATTCTTCATGAGATGATTCTGCCCCAAGAACAACAGCTTTTAAATAAAGAAGAATATTCCAGTAGGTGATATTGCATTCCAATTAATCAATCATGCAGTGCTTCAGTGCAGTTCACCTGAGACATAAACACCTGTGACCATCATACAACTGGTGTAACTCAGACGGGTGTAACAACAAGACATCTACTCAAAATCAGAGTTTTGTAAATCCGGGCAGCGTATTATACAACTTCTGTGAAAAGTATTCACAAAAAAACATTTATGAAGTGGAGTTTCGACCTTCATTTCAAATAAGTCCAACCGTTTTTCTTTCTGTCCGATCTATTGGCTGGTGAGTGCCGCCCAACTAGAAAAGTCAAGGTCAGTTGGGAATTAGAATTCGCTTGTTTTGGTGGTATTACATCATTTCGTTCAGTTTTCGTAAGTTTTTCACTACTTTTGAATTAGCGGGACGATGGTGACTAAACATTTTTAGCAAGAGCTATTGAATTTATATATATCTTTCGTTCACCAACTTGGTGCAAAAACGTCTTGTGTGTCGTATGCATACAATATGCTAGAGGTTTTTGTATCAAGTCAACCACGACTAACTTTTATAAATATGAAGATAAATGATGTTGTGAGACGCTTAATAGAGAAAGCAGCAGAATTAGGTTATTAAAGGTATCCGTACGAGCACAATGAAAGAATAAACAACATTGTGATGTGACCTCCATGTCACGATATCTCAAAATGGATTAAAATCCAGAGTTAATATTTGAAGACATCCACCAACGTCGTTTCCATATTGAATTTTTCATTGGAATTGTTAGAAACTCGAGACTGGTTTTGTATAACCTCAGCCGTACAAATTTGGTAAAAAAGGTGATTAGTGAGGATGACCTGAGATGAAAATGGGCTTATTCTAGTTATTTGACAAAATTTCAACGTAACTTAACCACTCTTACAATTTGCTTCAAATCTGCCCATTTTAACCATCATTTAACCATTCTTTGCCCATTATAGTCAGACTGGGGTAGTCTGATGCAAGGCAAGTGTTATTTTGTAAGTAAACAAAGTTAGACTGTAGCAGCCACCCCGATAGACTCTGCCAAGTCAAACCATATACCTTTTGTTCTAAATAGCTTAATGAGTTCTAGGAAGGTCAGGTGTTTGACTGTTGTATGAATAATGGATCAAATAGTGTCACACATATGCGGAGGCTTAGCACGGTACCTGGATTTTTAGGATTTTTATTTTGGGATAGGTTGAATGACAGGATCTGACCTTAGAAAATCTCAGAACACTGATGTATAATCACCTCTTTAACAATTTTGCGACTTTTATTGCTTCCTAATATTGATTAGTGGCCTGACGTCAGTGGTAAGGTCCTTGCAGTTGCTTGTTTTGGTTTATCTCCCGCAAATAACAAAGTCATTATTTCGAAAGAATGCATTTGCAATACTTTAAGGTGGACAAAAACTAAGGGAAATACAGTCGGTCGTCTTCCCGTTTGCTTTTATAACTAGTGTTCTTGAGGAGTTTCATAAACACCATTCATTGCATCAACTCATGCATGTGCTATCGTTTATATATTCACAGCTATTCACCTTTTTCTTTAGCCGTTTTCAGAGGTTAAATGTAGAGGGAGCTTATTTTATATCTTGGGTGCTTTCTGTGAAAGACCACTATATTTCTATGGCTTTTAAACCCGTTTCTTTTCTACGATAAACATAAATATCATTGTTTCGGGAAAAGCTAAGTAACTAGAAGTGTCTGTGCACTGGTGTGTGTGAAGCATCTTGTATTATTTACATCCTTACCAGAAGTATTATTTTGGCTTTTATTCTGGAATGTGCAATACCATGAATATTTCAAGCTTTTTTCAAGCTATGCATTCTACTTATTTCTTTTCGGCTTTTGAACTTTTGTTTGGTGGACCTCCCATTGGAATGTAGGACTTCAAGCTAGAGGTTTGAAGTTTCAGTAGCAGTGGTGATTACTTTTACAGGATGGGGTTGCTAGCCTCATGCCAAATCCTCCCTCTTCACCAGTCTTACTACTGGCTTATCGAGGTAAAGGAGTGTGTCGGCCAGCGATCGAACTATCTACGTGGTCGGCGAGCATTCTGCCGCTATGCCACCGACCCACGGACCTCCGTATATATATATATATATATATATATATGCATATATATATATATGTATATTATAGGGAGATACTTGAATGCGAAATTCGACTCCGTTAATCGAGGTTTTGTGGCATCGTTTAACAGAATCGATTAACAAACGAGTAGTGTACTAGTTGATGCACTGAACTCGTACTCATGCAGGGTGTGAAAACTTAAGGAGAGTTTTTTTTGAACCTATCACAGTTGTGTCTGTCAGCAGTACCTATTGTCACGTTTTAACTAATTACAAATTTGATGTTAATTGTGTTCATAGATCACTTTTATGAAATCCTGCTATAACCGAAAATCTAATACCCTTTATCTCCGTGTTCTCTTTCAGAAGACTGAAACTGAGGTTTACTGTGCACTTCTGCGGGAATGGATACACTTTTTCAGGCGAAACAAAATCAGCTTTTGCTTCAATCCCTGAAACAGGATTGTGAACAAGCTTTATCTGCCTTGAGGTTGCTATGCAACTCGACTCATAGTTGTTCGACTGTGAGTTCCAATATGAATTCAGAATGTCAGAAGTCACTTAATGAAGAAAAAATTCCGATACTTGAAGCTACCTTAGAACAGATTGAGAAGGGTTTAGAAGATACAGAGGTTTTTCTTCAATATAGACTTACACTCAAATTAAGGATTTGTTTATGCATGTCAAACACATTGAACAACTGGAAACAGAGTTAATGACAATGAGGTTACATAGTCGACGGTTGTGCGAAGAAAATCGTTGGTTACGAGAGACGCTAAAATGCGCTCAATCAAAACTGAAAGTAGTCATCTGATGTATTTTAGTAATGATTTCTACAGGAAAGTGAATTGTTACTTGCTCAGAGTGAGGCGGAAAAGGAACAGCTTAAATTTATGCTGGATATGAAGAGATATGATGACGTATCTTCTAACAATTTCGAAATCGATCGAAGTAAGCTTTCTTTGATTTCGCGAGAATGTTTTTATATGGTGTTTTTAAGTACTAAACTTGTCACACTATTCCATCATTTTTCTCCTAACTTCATAGTTTGATCAAAGTTCCTGTAAGTGACTCCGAGAATATCCATCGTCTGAATCACATGTATGCTCAACTGTTGTTAAATGTCTCCCTGCTTTGAATTTTCTATGATATAAATTTTCCCATGTTCTATTTCTTACTACCAGTCATTTTTAAAATTGGGACGCTGAATTTCTTCCTGGAAGTTTGATAGAAGGCGAGCTTAGGTTAATTCCATTATGGATGAAATTTTATTTTGATAAAATCACTCGGTGTTTTACACTAATATTTACTGATGACGTTTCAAGCACAACTCATTGCCCACAATCATATCAAGGTACTCACATAACTTTCTTGCTTCATTTATGTACATCAGTAGTAATTGATTAGACATTTGATTTGGAGCAGCTAATCGGTAGTGCGATTCAACAATTGGATTTACATGAGTCACATGATTTTTGGCGGTCGATAAAATGGAACAACTCTTCCCTCGTCACAAGCGGACAAAGACAAGAAAAGGCCCATCTGAATATTCATGCAACTTGCGAATATACCTCTTTTTAATAAAGTTAATACCGGAGATATCACTTAAGCTAATTGCGTGACGTTTACAAGGAAATACAAAAGCTCAAAGAACAAACGTTTTCTGTGCCCAATGGGAGCCACTAATCCGTATTCCTTCTTTGATTTTTAGTTGTAAACTATTTCTTATTGATGAATTCGTGTTGATGCTAAAAGGTTTGTCTTAGGTTTCTCCCATAGATTCATTAGAATTGTTAGACGTATGGTTTTTGTCGACTAACATTTAAATAATCTACCCAAAAGAAAGTTTATTCACATACTTTAATCCTCGGGATCATTTCGCTAGATCATTATTTGAGATGTCTTTCTTATGCGCCGATTTTTGCAGTGGATTCATTTTTACACTCGGTAGTTTAATCTATGTTCAAAGATACCTGCCTGTAAATTTAGGCACTGTATTACAAAACGTCGTTCTGTCATATTATTTGGCATAATTTTCAATCGTTTGTTCTGTTTACCTAAAGTTTTGAACTACTTAAACTTGATAAATTTTGATACAAATAATCTCACCATTCATACCTTCAGAAGGTGACCCACCAATAATGATGTCATCTGTTCTCGGTCTAATGAGTACATCAAATCATACTAATGTTTCTAATCAAGTCGATCGACCACTTATGCATAACAGATTACAAAAGTCAAGTGCCACTAGTTTATCATCATTTTCTACATGCAATCAGTTGGAAATGAGTGGATTTATGAATTCCAGTCTATTGGATACAGATTTAGATTCACTATCAGACAATCGTCGTGACAGTAATGCTTTGCCCGGTATGCGCGAGCATCAGAATTTTCAGTCAGGACTTAAGACAATACATCATATTGTTGCAAGATATAAAAGCCTAGGAAAATATGATGTTGCAGCATCTTTGTGCCTACAAATTATTCGAAACTTAGAAAAGTCTGGTGGTCGTGATCAAGCTCAGATTGCCACTCTTCTTGCTATTTTAGCTGAAGTTTATCGGTAAGTTGCATGCATTGAGTGTGATTTTTTGTTGCATTTTCATAAAATGTCTTGGAAAACAATTGAAATAATCAGCTGGTCGAAGAATAGAAAGCTACTGTTGATGAATGACTTATTATTGGTTTATCTTTTACACTACATGTCAAGGCTCTTAATATTTTACTACCATCAACTTCAACTATTAGTGTAGTAAAAAAACATGCCAAATTGGTAAGTGCCATTACATTAATAAATTATAAACTAACTATACATGGTGTTGTTTGTTGTCTTCTCAATATATTCACTTCAGAAAGTTTTTTACCTTATATTTTTTCAAATAGCGAACAAGGTAAATACGAAGATGCTTGTGATCTCCTTAAACAGGCGGTATGTATACGGGAGAAGACTTTAGGGCCAAATCATATGTTGGTACGTTTTATAAAATATTTTTCTCCATATGGTGTCTACACTTTCACAACTTCTATATCTATCAGATACAAAGCATATAATGCATGTTGATTCATTAATTTATTGCATTAATTTGTGAGGACTATATTCATATCTTCGTCAATTGTTAAAAATGTTAAACTTCCGAGTTTTAAACGTTAATTTAAAAGGTCGTTTGTTTTGAACACTAATTCACATATTAAATGAGAATTGATAGCTCAGTCGAAGTTTAACAATTTTTCGTGTTCGAATCATTGTGTTTAGTGACTAGTGGTTTATGACTAAATTTAGTGACTTTGACAGCACTTCATGCATGTCCTTTTCGTCCCCAGTAGAACATAGGGTTTCAAGTCAGAGCTTTGAAGTTTGGGTAGCAGTGGTGTTTTATTTTTACGGGATGGTGTTGCTAGCCTCATGCCCAACCTTCCCTCTTTATCAGCCTTATTACTGGCTTGTCGAGGTAAAGGACAATGTAGGCCGGGAGTCGAACCCCGAACCAAGTGGGTGGTTGGCGAGCATTCTACCGTTGCGTCACTGACGATGCACGTGTTAAACTTTTTTAAATATCTGGTAATTATGATTATATATATATAATTTGGGTTTTAAGCACTTGAGAAGAATCTGCGATGCAGTAAAAATGAATTCATCTACATTTGTTCAAGTTTGTTGTTAGAAAGAAAGCTAAATTACTAGCTAATGTTAACAAAAACCCTCAGTTTGTAGGCGTTTCAAAATGATCAGGTATATATGTATGCATGCATTTTGACAACCATACACATGTTTGTCTTCTGAAAAATAAATCATACAATATTCTGTGTGGGCTGTGATGCCACCGAAACTGTTTAGACTTTGGTAGGTGAAGTGATTCATTGATATGACTGTTTGGTTAAATGATTTACAATTCCCTATTCTGAAACCATAAATACCTGAATGTATGGTGAATTATGAGAGTTGATGCAAGCAGCATATGTTGTTTCTACAGGAATATTTTGGAAACTCATGAAATAATGATTAGAAATAAAATGTCATTATGAGTATGGAAATCAAAGCGTGACCTTCATTTTCTTTAATATGCAAATTTTATCCACGTTTATTTTATAGTAAATATTTCCTTATCAAAATTCACCTGTTTTGCCTACTGGTCGCACTAAGTTGGCTAATAAAATATCCACTGTTTTTTGTCATATCTCATGGCAAGATGACCTTTAATCCAGTTATTTCCTAGTTACCTTCGTTTTACTTTTGATTAACAGGTTTTGGTGTTTTCCTGGTAAAATATGAACACTAGTTTGGTTCAGTGAATTCATTTCACTTTAAGTGCTCTAAATCTTTCACACATGTGTTCAATTCGAAATTCATACAAAATCTTCGTTAAGTTATTTAGGATAAGGAAAAAACACGTGATTTAGAGAAAATATTTCGCGGTTTCATTTACTGCAATATTTTAAAATTTTATTTCATGAATGTACTCAGTAATTTGTTTTTTGGCTGTTTATTAAACAAAATAATTAGAGGATTGTTACGATTAGTGAGTGTTCATAAAAATATACTGAGATTTCATTAAAGGGGAATAGTTGCGGAGCAATGCTAAATACTTAATGCTGGAATTATATTACCAAAATGTGCATGTAAAGAGGAAATTGTTGGTATTTTATAGAAATTACGTAGGATTTGAGAAGTAGAGGGACGTTTCTCAGTTCACAGGTAAATTATAACTAGTTACTTTCATAATCAAATCTGTGGCTTCTCAGTTTTGGTGACTGAAGCTTTAACAGTACTGTGAAGGCAGATATGCATTAATTGCAGGCTGTTTTTCACTTTGTCAACATTTTTGAAGAAAGAGTTGTCAGGTGTCCTCTAGATGCTCAGTTATTGCAATAATTTCGAAAACACTCCTGTCTTTTTGCAAGCAAACAGGATTATGTTCTTGAATCCTTTTGGATAGGACTGTTTTCCAACTACCAGTATTGCTGGCTCCACACAAGAAGCCTATATAGTATCCACACAGAAATAGTCAAATGAAATCATGGTCGACTTGAGAGCATTGTTTCCAAAGCCGTTAAAAATGCCGTTTCTCTTTTGAGTTTGGAATTCATCTCTTTTGTGCATTAGCTGTTAGGTCATCTTTAAACTCCAAGCTTCGTATAGTGAATTGTATAACTGTAGCAAACTTGATTATTTTTGATTTTGTTCTTGAACTAAATAACTGACTATAGAACATGGTAATTAATTTTCGGAAATTGTCTACAGTTTTTAAATTTGTTAGAAAGGTGTAGAAAGCTTAGAGTAGAGGAAGTGAATTTACTTTACTTCAACCAGTAGTGACTGGTTGTCATTACTTTGCGAAATAACTTATCAGAGGAACTACTTGTATGGAATTCATTATTAGAAAAGTTTTGGAATCCACTTCACCTAATGTGTTAGGAACCGTAAATTATATACCATCTGTTTTTAGACAATAGGTGCGGTTTATCGCTTTGTGTTACCAACTTGTATGTATTTGCTGAGATATATTATTTTGTCGCGTTAATGCACATTAATATTGCCTTATCTTACTAGTTTAGTTATCAATCTTGTGTTATAAGCATGTATATATATATATATATATATATGTTTTTATGTACTTTATTCTTGTTTTGTTTAACAGATAGCATCTACCCTAAACAATTTAGCTGTCCTACAAGCTAAACTTGGTCAATACGCGGAAGCTGAACCATTATGTCGACGTGCACTTAGTATACGTGAAAATGTAAGTTATCAGTTTAGATTTGTAACTGAAATTACTAAATAAGCAAATTTGAGGTTCTGTTACACTTATATTTCTTGGTCCATCGATTCAACTATTTGGACTGAAATACACTCTGTCTGAGCCTTACTGGAAGCCACACGTATTCCGTCAGTAGATTGGTAACCCTTCTTCTGTTTTTAGCATAAAAATATGAACAAGACAGTCGAAAAGAATCTATTGAAATGTATAAATGACTAAAACACACGCCGGAATCAAAACTCAATTTTAAATCAATATTATTACAATTCAGTATTACTGTTCCATTAAGTTGCTGTTCTCTGTAGTCCTCTTTAGAAGGCTCCACGATTTTCCGTGTACTGTCACCTCCATAGAAACACCCCAGACAGCCTCGTAAAGTCACGTCACCAACTTCGTATAGGAGCATTTAACGTCAGGACCCCCTGCCAAATCGGACAACAAGCATCACTAGCAAGAACTCTGGCAACTCGAGACATGGATGTATGTTGTGTTTCGGAGACACGCATATAAGACCCGAGTGTGGTCATTCATTTAACCTCACCCGGTCAACAAGGTGAATCTGCAAAATCCACTTTAAGGGTGCCAGGAGTCCCCTCAGCTAGCTCGCGAGGACTCGCAGGTGTAGGGATAGCGCTGAGTGTTAGGGCGGAAAAATCACTTCTCGACTGGATCCCAGTTAATAGTCGTATGTGTACGGTCCGTCTGAATGGGTCCATTAAAAGAAGGAATGATGGCGCTACCCGTCGTTACCTTTCCGTAATCTCCGCTTACGCCCCAACAGACTGCAGTCAGGATGAACTAAAGGATGACTTCTACCTGGAACTGTCTAATTTGCTGCAAAAAGCAAAACGTTCAGATATAGTTGCTTTAGCAGGCGACTTCAATGCCCAAGTAGGAAAGTTGTATCAGACTGAGAAGTATGTACGTGGTACGTGTGGAGTTCCCTGCCGACGAACCGACAACGGTGATCGTTTTCTACAGTTTTGCTTAGATAATCATCTGTTCCTAGTCAGCACTAACTTTAGGCTCAAAGAGAGACATTGTGTAACCTGGTGACCTCTATCACCAAATCAACGCTGGACTCAGATGGACCACATAGCAGCAGGGTATCGTTGGCGAGGGTCAGTAGAAGACTGCCGCTCCTTCTGGAACACGTGCCCCTTCTGATCACGCTCTGGTTCGCACACTTCTATGCTTACGACTAAATGGACATACGAGACTTGGGAGTGAAGCAGCTACGCCCACAATTTGATAAGGACACCGAGTCCCTACCTAAGGAAGAAATGGCGAAACGAGTATCTGAGGTCGACAGCAAGACTCCTCCTGAGGAAGCCTAGAACAACATACAGTTAGCTGTAGACGCAGCTATAAAAGTTGTTAGTAACCTGAAACCAAAAGTTAGTAAGAACCACTGGATCTCCACTGCCTCATCCGAACTGATTGACGCAAGAAGACTGATGCCGGCTAACTCCGATTATGATGAGGAGCGAAAACTACTCAGACGAAAACTAACAAGAAGTCTTCGCAACGACCGTGAAGTGGTGGGTGGGTGACAAAAGCGAAAGAGATGAAAAAGTCATCGGTGATTGGCAACACCAGACAACTATTTAGGCTTATCAGGGAAACAGGTGGTAAAAGGCAAATGGTAAGTGAAACAACCTCTGAGAAAAATGGCACCATAATTTTATTTTTTTATTTATTTTTATTTTTTTTATTTTTGATTACAGCTTGATTCCACACCGTATTTTTGGTACAAGTATGCAATTTTCAGCGTGGATATCGGTAGCCCAAATTTCGCAGGCCGACCATAGATATCAGGTGTGCGTCGGCGAGGGCTCGAACCCCGGACCATTTGCATGGTCGGCGAGAGTCCTAACCACTGTGCTCTCAGGATAGACGACTGGAACGTTGGGGCAATGTAATCGACCTGCAGCCAAGCACAACTTACCCAGCATCCAACACCTCCCTGAATGGGACATAGAAATAGGTCAGCCGTCCCTAACTGAGGTTGCTAATGCTGTCACTAGGCTGAAACGAGGGAAAGTTGTGGGACCCGATGGAATCACTCCGAAGGTGTTTAAGTACGGTGGAGACAGTTTACTGTCTGCATTAACTGAAGTACCAGGCAACGTCTGAGAATCAGAGGAAGTCCCGTCAGGTTGGTGTAAGTCACAGATTATCCCCATATACAAGAAGGGAGAGAAGTCTTCCTGTGATAATCACAGAGGGATTAGCTTGACTAATATGGTGGTGTCTACAGTCCTAGACTCAATAATTATACATAAACTAAGCGGTGCTTGGGAGGCACAAACACGAGAGAGCCAGGCAGGCTTTAGACCAGGAAGAGGGTGTATTGATCATATCTTCACCCCTCGACAGATTCTAGAATACAGGCATTCCTACTGGCGTCCAACAGTCATTATATTTCTTGACCTAAAGGTGGCATTCGATTCTGTCGACCGAAAGGTGCTCTGGTGATGCTTGGCTGTAAAGGGAACGCCGAGAAAACACGTCGCACGGATTAAAGCACTCTACTCGAACTCAAGCAGCCAGGTGAGGGCTTACGGCGAGTTGTCATCTGAAGGGGTGACAACTAGTGGTGTGCGTCAGGAGGCCCATTATCCCCATTCCTATTCAACTTCATCACAGATGTACTGATGGACTTAACCCTAACTCACTTCAGAGATTCAGGGATTGACTTGCTACCAGGGAATAATCTTGTTGACTAAGACTATGCAAACGATATAGTCCCCTTTACGGATAAGATTTTATTTTGATATATTACACAGTGTTGTACCGTTATATTAACTGATGACGTTTCGAGCACAAACTATTGCTCATAATCATATCAAGTTACTCACACAACTTTGTTCTTTCATTTATATACATGTGTGGAATCGATTAGATATTGGATTAAAAGTCAATGTGAGATAATATACATTCAGAAATAATAGTACGAGTGTTGTTGATCAATTGCAGATAGATGGGAAAAAGGACAAGTGTTTTTTTACAGTCATAATAAGCTACTTGTTAGAATGTTGTGTTTGAATGTGTTTGAATTGCAATAGAATTTTAAGATTATTTATTATCTTCTTCTGATTTGACTGATGGCAATAATACGAGTGTTATTGATCAACTATAATCAGATGGGAAATACGACGAGTGTTTTAATAGTCATAATAAGTTTTTTGTTAGAATGTTGTGATGTGTTTGAATTGAAACAGAATTTTAATATTATTTATTATCCTCTTCTGATTTGACCTGCGGTAATAATATCTTCCATATTTCTGGTATTTGCATTGAGTCGTTTCTGTTGCATGTGTTGGGTGTAGACTCGATAAATAAGGATTCCGTGATCAACCTCTCTCTCCACCTACCTATATTACTTTTTAGAATTTTAACCCTATCCCACCCTATTGTGTGGTTGTTTGTTATTGCGTGAAGTGCAATAGCTGAGCTTTTTTCTAAATTACTTATCTTTTCAGGGTCAACCATTCTTACCTTAGCTAAATTCTTATGTTCTGATAATCTGACTATCCCTGACCTACTAGTTTGACCTATGTAGTTGACCTCACAGTCATTGCAGGGTATTTTGTAAATTATATTATTTTGTCTAATTGGATCCACCGGGTCTTTTAGCCTACAGAGCTTGTCTCTGAGTGAGTTTGTAGGTTTGAATGCCACTCTAATTCCTGATTTATTAAGAATCCTACGTAGGGCCTCAGATGTCCCTTCTTTATATGGTATAACAGTGGATGACTTATATTCTCTCTTATTTGTGTTATCATTAATAGTTTCACCATTATTTTTATTTTACTTTTGGTCTCTAGCGATCTTCCTAATGAATTTTATAGGATAGTTATTCAACACCAACGCTTCTTCTATCTGTTTTATTTTGTCATTTAGGTCTTTTCTTGTGCTACTTAGTGCTATGGCTCGGTTTGTTAAACACTTCACTAAGCCTGCCTTAACAGTTAACGGATGAGACGAATTAAAGTCTAAATATCTATTAGAATGCGTTGGTTTTCTATAAACACTAGTCTGTAGTTTGCCTTCTATTCGTTTTATTTTACAATCTAACATAGCTAATTCTCCTAGTTCATTTTCTGATTCAAATATGAATTTTATTCCCTCTACTTGTGAGTTTATATGTGTCAAGATGCTAGAGATATGTTCTGTTTTTAACACCGTGAAAGTGTCATCCACATATCTCCACCATATTTTTGGAGTAGGATTAAACGTATTAAGAGCACTATTTTCCCAGCTGTCCATAAATATGTCTGCTACAATAGGGGATATTGGTGATCCCATTGCTACACCTTCAGTATGTCTATGTATCTTGCCTTGGAACTTAAAGATAGTAGATGTGAGGCATAATCGAATCCCTAACACAATTTGTTCAATGGGTAGCTTTGTCCTATGATTCAGTTCATGATCCGCAGTTAGTTGTTTTTTAACTGCTTCTAAGGCCATAATGACTGGTATATTAGTGTAAATACTAGTTATATCAAAACTAACCATTTTCTCATCATTCTCCAGTTGAATGCCATTTAGTTTACTTTTCATGTCATATGAATTAGTTAATCTAGAGTTTGAACGGTTTCTAATGGAACAAAGTATTAGAGCTAAGTGTTTTGATAATTCATAAGTGGGGGTATTTCTAAAATCTACTATTGGTCTTATGGGGTAGCCTGGCTTATGTATTTTAATAGTACCATATATTCTACTAGCATTATTAGTTTTAGGCATTAAATGTTGAATCCAGATAGACAGACAGACAGGCATTAAATTAAACCATTTAGACTAACCCAGTGACGGCTTCATTCTGCGTATTAATTCCGCTGTAGATTTCTTAACCTTATTCATTATTGTATCTACAGGCTTCTTAATTTCTTCATATGGACCCATTTGAATATGTTCAGTAACTTTTTTGATATATAGTCAGATTTATTCAGAACTACGGTGACGTTTCCTTTGTCAGC